TTTCATGTGACAACACTGAAGAAATGACACTTTGCTATTATGTAGTAGACCTGCCCAATTGGTTTGGGGACCTCCGCTTGCCACCCCAGACAGGGGATGACCGCATGGAAGCCCAGCCATCAAGACACCCTGGAGGATCGAGACGCCGTAGACCTTCCCCCCGACCAGGCACAGACCCGCCATCAGGGACAGTCTTCCAGCATCCTCGGCTCATCCCAAGGCGCATTGCGTGAGTTTTCACCGTATTTTTCTCGGTCTAATCATTATCTTGATCCTGTCTCCCACTAATCCTCACGCGAAAGCAGTCTGACTTCCCTTTCCCAAGGTTCTGGGGTATGTGTGTATCATAAGGCTCACAATACTCATCCATGCTACGTTATGTTTATGTTCCTACTATGTTATATAGTAATTATCCTCTCATAACCATATATGCTCTCCCTACAGCATCGTGATGCTTTTCTCGTTCCTCCGTCTGTTGTTGTTTCCCTTCTGTCTGATCCTAATACACCCATAATATTTGCATACAATACAGGTGCTAAGCCGTTGTCTTTAGGACTCACTCACAACCCCACACAGCGGACTCCCTAGAGTCTGAATGACCCTGTACGCACCAGGGCACAAACCGTAAAACAAAAACAACAAAAACACAAAATAAAAGAAAACAAAAAAGGACAGAGTAGCTGGTCTACCCCCGTCGACTGATTTTTTTTTATACGAGTTCTCCTGTTCACCCCTTTTAGTACCCTGTACGACTGAACAGAGGTGCTTATTAGGCCTCTTCTCTACCCCTCTCCAGCTTTCCTGTCTCCACCCCCTCTCTATCTCCCTTTTTTTTTCTACCTCTTCCCTCCACCCCCCCCCCCCCCCTTTTTTTTGTCTGCAACTCTCTGAAGTGTCGCTCTAAATATCTGACTGTTTCCCGTTTATTACTATCCTCAATGATAGACAAGACATACAGACGCCCATCCGTACATAGGAGACAAGGCCTTCCACAACCTTGCATGCTTCTCATACGCTTTCAGTGGCATCTCTGAACGCTAGAGGTCTAAATCTGCCCGAAAAACGCTCACAACTATTAACTTATATGAAAAGCTTAAGAGCAAATGTGCTTTTTATTCAGGAAACTCACTTCCGTGCTGACCATGTCCCTAACTTTTCCAACGCAATGTACCTGACAGTAGATCATGCAGTCAATACAGAGATGAAAGCAAAAGGTTTAGATTCTAAGAGACTCCCGCTTAAGATTACCGATTCTCTTGCGGACTCAGAGGGTCGGTTCCTCTTCCTTAAAGGTCTCCTTTATAACAGGCCGATCACACCAGACAACATATACAGCCCCAATACGGCGCAAGTCAGCTTCTTCCGTAAAATTGCGAAAGCATTAAACTTTCCAATCGGCATTCTGATTTTGGGTGGCGACTTCAATGTGGCATTAAACACCTTGGAAGACACCTCGACGAGTACATCTTCAAAAACATTTCGAGCACTTAAACAAATCAAACTGGAACTTACAGACCTTCTCCTGCATGACACATGGCGTACTTTACACACGTCTGATAAAGATTTCACATTCTTTTCTACACCTCATAATCGCTATTCTAGAATGGATTATTGTTGACTTATGAGGGGTTTATGTATAATCTTCATCAGCAACTGTAAATAGATATTTTTCTAACTATATAACCAAGTTACAAAGCTGGAAATATCAGAGCTTGGTTTGATAGCGGTGTGTTGTACATAGACATTGAAACAAGTGATCAAGTTGTAGAGATAGCTTTGTATTGTATTGGAGGAATATTTGGTGTGTAAACAGGTGCATGCCACAAGGAATGTTCTATTATGTGAGAGGGGGCAACCACTAAATTAACTACCTTATCTCAGACTTTATGGGGCCCACATAACGATCTAGACCAGGCCATTTAAATCTCTTTGTTTATATGAGGGCCACTTCAAAGTACCCTCTCTTTAGATATGCAATGGTGATGGCTATCTGGGGAATGCAGTTTTACCAGGCTATGACCTAAGGTTCCCTCCAAACGCTCAATAATGGAGGGAATTTTGATGAGAAAGCCTGGATCCAGACGCCTCAGTGCCATGACCTGGCATATGTAAGTTTATCACTAAAAGGGGAGGCTCTGGAATGGGGCTGAGTTATGTAAGCGATATGGGATGGGGAAACTGTCCAATCCTGGATGAGATGTGTCAGATATGGAAGATGGATTGGACAGTTCTACCAATCAGGATGGCCCCATGCAAGTCTATGGGAGATAAGTGTATATCAGGGTAGGTTTTGGGGGAAGACAAGGGAGAAGATACACCGATCCTGGGGGCCCCCATGCTACACCATTGGTAAATATCAGGACATTTCTCTGGCACTTACATGTATACATGATTGTCGTATGTGTTGTCTGTCTTGCTGTTTGTGGGTTTAGGGTATGAATAACATATGCTTTAATTCATTGGTTGAATCATATACATTTTGTTTCTCTTTTTCTTATTGTTAAATAGATAGATTGTGGTATGTTAGTTTAGACCTCCCTACTATTCACCAATAAATTTTGGTTGTTGTGTTAAACCTTTCACTCTTGGTCAAGGAACTCTCATTAAGGTTAATCAAATCATATCAGAGAAATATTATATTTCATATTCCATAGATTTGGTCAGCAATTATCTCCTTACCTTGAAGTCAGCCTCCATTGAACCCATTATCCTCTCAGACCACCACCGCATTACTATGACCATACATCTCCCAGATGCCCCAATCACTCCCAAAACATGGCAATTTGACCTGTTTCTTCTTACAGACCCATCCGTGACTCTCCAAATTCATGAATGTCTGTGTAACTACTTTCGGGAAAATATATCTCCAGAAAATGACCTCACTCACCCAATGGTAATCACACAAAATGTGTGACACGTGGGCTTCTACTTGCAATTGCAGCCTCTCGACAGCACACGGCAAAGGCGTCTTAACTCGTTACGCCAGAAAGTACATCAACTAGAATGTTCCCATAAACGTAAACAGGCTTTGACACTTACTGCTGAACTAGTATCTGCGCGTAAACAACTACTGGAAGCAGTGGAAAGGAACACCAAGCGTAACTTTGCTTTATCTCAGAAACTGTTCTACGAACATGGGAACAAAAGTGGCAAATTCCTAGCTAGGGCCTGCAAGTAAAAAAGCAGCTCTCACTATTCACCAAATCCATTCCCAGCAAGGTTGAATACTTAAAACTACTATACGACCCTTTATGACCTCCCTCAAGCTCCAAGGCCAACAGGCGATAATAGATCACTTATGGACATTATCCAGGCCTTTCTATCACAATATCTTCCCAAACCTATTTAAATTTATGTGCTTCCCTCCCCCCCCTCACGAATAGAGATTTCTTTTGGTGGTATTTGATCACCTCTGTTTTTAATTTTTTGTGCTACAAACAGAAAAAGACCAACAATTTTGAAAAAAAACCCCAACAAATAAAACAATATTTTTGACTTTTTGCTATAAAACATATGCAATTAAAAAAAAAAAAAAAAAAAAATCAAATTTAGGCCAAAATGTATTCTGCTACATGTCTTTGCTAAAAAAAACAAAACAAAACAAAAAGTGTGTAAATTAATTGGTTTGCGTGAACGTTGTAGCATCTACAAATGGTGGTATATATACTGGAATGTTTTGGTTTTTTTTTTCTTTACTAGTAATGGTGGCGATCAGCGACCTATTGTGGGGACTGTGGGAGGCATTCTGACACTGGGGGGAATTAACTGCCACTGAGATCCCAAATGACACTAATACAGTGATCAGTGCTAATAAAAAGCACTGACGCTGCACTGATACTGGGCAGGAAGGGGTTAACATCTGGGGGCAAAGGGTTAACTGTGCATTTTACTAAGTGTGATGGGTGTGTGCAGAGCAATACAGCCTGTTCATGCTGATGGGTGAGATCTGTATTGTTTACATACAGACCTCTCCGCTGACTATCATCGAGTCCTGGCCAAGAATCGAAGCAGGTAGGGAGCGTGCACCCCCTACGCGGAAATACAAAATCACGTATATATACACACACGTGATTTTGAACATCCCTGCCTCCCTGTAGCAGTACTTCTGCTATAGGAGGGTCAGGAAGCGGTTAAGACCCCCTTCTGCTACTTAACTGACCAGATCAATATCCCAGGAGTTTAATTGACATGATGCTATACTCTTATTAAAACGTGTTTTTTTGAGCAGTGTATGTGATATAGGCACATGTAATGGCGTGGTTAGCCGCACGTCATTTTCATTTTGATCAGGAGCATGTGCTAGGAGGACTGTGGCCTCTGAGTTGCAGGCGAGGATGTCCATGTATGTGGGGTGACAGATATCCTTTGGGCAAAAGGTGTTATTATAAATAGCAGGTCTCTTCCCATAAGGGTGTTCCCTTTGGGAGGTGGGAAGGTGCAGGAGGTGGCCCAATCGCTGTGAAAAGTTATTGGTACCAGACTTAGCTCGTTTAGAGGGTCATGCTGTCTTAGATAAACATCCTTACTTAGGCTTGGTCATTAAAAGATGGAGAGGCACACAGACTCTTTCCTAACCCCAGGAGTAAATGACCTACTGGCAGAGATGCAAGCCTTTTACTTCTGGGAAGAGAGTACATCGACCCCCTGTAATTTATTTTATGTAATTGTCCAAGGAGATGCCAAAATGCATGAAAGAGTAGCAGCTCAAGGCATTTCTTTAACAGGAGCTCAGCTGACAAGCATTTCAATTAGAGAATCCAGCACATGTGGCTAGAGTGAAAACTCGTTCTGGAAATGTTGCAAAGAGTAACCAGGGAATTTACACAGTAACGTTAGGCTGTAGGTTATGCTTCCAGATAACTGTGGACAGAGACATTTGTAAGGATATCACAAGCCATATGTTGTGTCCAGAAATCATAGCCTCCGGTGATTACAGTACCCAGATTATTGTAGTGGATGGAGAGGACAAGTGGCGGCATGTGCCGTCTGGAAAATACTTCCTTAACCCCTTTGCGCCGGCCGCACACAAATGTGCAGCCTCCCGGCGTCTGGGCCTAGACGCCGAGCGGCTGCACATTTGCGTTCATGTAGCAAAAAACGTATGTGCTGAGAGCGCGCGCCCTGCGCGCTCCCAGCACACTTGTGGTATTCACGGAAAGGTCCCGGTCCGCTCTTTCGATCGGGACCTTTCCCGATCATGTGACCGCCGTGATGACGCGTCACGGTGGTCATGCTTCCTAAACCATGTAGTAAAAGATGTTTTAGTGAGCGCTACCTTAAAACAAAAGTGAAAACGTGTATAAATATGTATACACAACAAAGTTAATAAGCAGCTGATACACCGAAAAGGTAACCAAAAGAAAACCTCCAATAATACATGTATATCCAGATAGAATGGTGCAGCGCTAAATAATAGTACACCATTAATACACACAATATGCTATTGCAAAATTATACGCATGCGTGATGTCACTCTGATGGTGATCAATAAATATTAAAAAGTTCAATATGATGGTGCGGATCATGGAGAGATCCTAATTACAGGTGAGTGGACGTCCTGATCCAAGGTGTGATAATAGGTGCAAACCACACAAATAGGTGAAAAACGCACTCACCAGATGTGCGTTTAACATACGCAATATATAATCCTGCGTCACCAGGCCATAGATCGGTCATCAAATCTCGGATCGGGTTACCCACAGATCACCATCCCGGTTCCACAGAGGCAAGGTCACCAGAAACTGCTACCAGGTATCAGCACCAGGGTCATGGTTCCTCCAGATGGGCACTGCGATAGCACTCACACAGAGTGCCCAATAAGAGACCACATAGCGTGATACTGCTTAAGGTACCTTTATTCAGGGTTGGTTGGTGTGGGGTACATAAAAGGATTTTAAAAAAAAGTTACTGACCATATATTCCAGGGTATCCACCAGCGGTGGTTAGGTGTCCTGTTGCTGCTGCCCTCTGACGCGTTTCGTGCGAAGCACGTATTCATAGGGATAAGGGCTCCACCCGCCCAGCGGCGTCTGAAACTCTTAAAGGGCCGGGAGGCGCCGGCGGGAAGGGGTTAAGGAGTAAACATTAACAATATAACAATGGGGTGGTAAGGGCTCTTTCCACTTCGCAGCCTTATGCAGCTTTATAGGACCTAGAAAACTCCAGTTAGTGTCTCGCAGGAGATAGAAGGGTGAGCGGCTGAAAGACAATACCATTAATAAGAGTGATAAAGATACCTTGTGTGGTTATTTTTTCTTTTTTTTTTTTTGCTCTGCCATTAGATAATTTTGGGGTAAGGGATAGATTAGATAAAGAGAGGGGAGGCATGCAAACTATGCATATGCCAGCACGGGTTGGTACAAAACGTATGGACTATACCTATAAGTATGATACTAGCCGATGAAAGGCATCCATAGCCCCTGTCCCTGCAAGGAATTTATATTGGTTGTGTGGAGATCGGGCTTACAAGACTCCCCCATGTGAGCAACATGACCCCTGTGTTTTAGGCTTTGTGGTCCCATCCATCTATAGGGTGGACACACTGCCCGAATACTCCGGGAGGGTTGTCTCGGTATTCCCCTTCGGGAGAAACACTCCCAGGACAAAGTACCAGAACGTCAGAATCACGGGAGCTGGAAAGTTTTGGAAATCAGTCTTTCCCCAGGTAGGTGTGCGGGATTTATACACAAAAATGGATTATTCGCTTAATTTACTAGAAGAAGCTTTCAATGCCACAGGTGAGGCTATTTCTGCAGTATCAGCTTAACAAGAACAAATGTGCCTGGTGGTAATTCAGGACTACCTCCTGGCAGCTCAAGGTGGTGTTTGCCATGTGGTAGGTGATGCCTGTTTTTCTTTTATAGAGGATAAGACTGGACAAATCTCCCATGAAGTTGAAAGGTTGAAGGAGGTTCAGACCCATCTCAAACCTATTATAGCAGGAAATCTCAGACTTCTTTAAGGATTTTGGCTGGACCTTGAGATTGGGAGGAACGTTCAGCGGGCTGGTTGGAACCTTACTTAACCTCCCTGGAGGTATTCCCGAGTGTAGCTCGGGGTAAAGTTTCAGCACCACAAGCGGTAACCCGGAACTACACTCGGGAATACCTTGCAGCGCTGCTCCGGGATCTCTTCTTCACTTACCTTGTCCTGCGCTCCCATGATGTTCCTCCTGAAGTGTCCCCGGCAATGTCCTCCGGCTCTTCTGGGTTCCGTTCCCTGCTACGTCAGAACGTACGGGGATGGAACGGCGGGAAATTTAAAAATGTGAAAAAGTGACATTTCACTAAAATCACATAGTATAACATTACTGTATGAAACCATTTCACATACATTTTGTCCCTAGTGCTTTGTCCTGTGCCCTGTCTGCATTTTTACCGTTCTTTCTGCTTGGAAACTGAGAAAAGTCCATGGCGTCCAAAAAGCGTCCCTTTAGGTCAAAAGCGGTTTTAGACCAGCTAGAGAACAGCGATAGTAAATTAGAACCACTTGCAGAATTGAGTGATGATTCGTGGGGAAATTTATCAGACACAATATTATAGTATTTATGATTATTTATTATAATTTATGATTTTGTGTTTCAAATTTTTAACATACCCGGGATGTTTACTAGACTCTTGTTCGGACAGATTTCAGTGAGTTATTCCTAAAAATTACAGGCCTACAATAAAAAGAAAAACAAAAAAACAAAACATTTCCATGCAAAAAAATGTACCGCTTTGAGCACAGAAATACTGACATTATCAGACCGCTAGGGAGGCTACGTGGGCTCCTATTGTGGGTTGTTTATTGGCTTTAATAATACGGAAGCTGGGTTAGTATTTGCAATGTCGGCAGACCTCGGAAACCAATGCCAAGGGGTGGAATGTAATGCCTATAAAATGTGTTGGCCTTGGACCCTTTGTTTCTTGGGTAATTTTTTACAATAAAACATTGTGGCCCAAAAGCCAGGAGCATGACTAACGTCATTTCTCAAAGCAAAGGAACAGAGTCACAAGATATTCTGTTGAGAGCAAGATAAAAACTTGTTTATGGAATTGAACGTGTTTATGACATCTAGTAACCTCACATTGTTGACCAAATCTATGGAATATGAAATATAATATTTCTGATATGATTTGATTAACCTTAGTGAGAGTTCTTTGACCAAGAGTGAAAGGTTTAACACAACAACCTAAATTTATTGCTGAATAGTAGGGAGGTCTAAACTAACATACCACAATCTATTTAACAATAAGAAAAAGAGAAACAAAATGTATATAATTCAACCAATGAATTAAAGCATATACTATTCATACCCTAAACCCACAAACAGCAAGACAGACAACACATACGACAATCATGTATACATGTAAGTGCCAGAGAAATGTCCTGATATTTACCAATGGTGTAGCATGGGGGCCCCCAGGATCGGTGGATCTTCTCTCCTGTCTTCCCCAAAACCTACCCTGATATACACCTATCTCCCATAGACTTGCGTGGGGCCATCCTGATTGGTAGAACTATCCAATCCATCTTCCATATCTCATCCAGGATTGGACAGTTTCCCCATCCCATATCGCTTACATAACTCAGCCCCATCCCAGAGCCTCCCCTTTTAGTGATAAAATTACATATGCCAGGTCATGGCACTGAGGCGTCTGGATCCAGGCTTTCTCCTCAAAATTCCCTCCATTATTGAGAGTTTGGAGGGAACCTTAGGTCATAGCCTGGTAAAACTGCATTCCCCAGATAGCCATCACCATTGCATATCTAAAGAGAGGGTACTTTGAAGTGGCCCTCAAACAAAGACATTTAAATGGCCTGGTCTAGATCGTTATGTGGGCCCCATAAAGTCTGAGATGAGGTAGTTAATTTAGTGGTTGCCCCCTCTCACATAATAGAACATTTCTTGCGGCATGCACATGTTTACACACCAAACATTCCTCCAATACAATACAAAGCTATCTCTACAACTTGATCACTTGTTTCAATGTCTATGTACAACACACCGCTATCAAACCAAGCTCTGATATTTCCAGCTTTGTAACTTGGTTAACATATAGTTATAAAAATATCTATTTACAGTTGCTGATGAAGATTATACATAAACCTCTCATAAGTAAACATTAAAAAGATAAAAACCTGTTTAACCCCTTCACGCCGGCCGCACATTTGCGTTCATGTAACAAAAAACATATGTGCTGAGAGTGCGCACCCTGCGCGCTCCCAGCACACATGTACAGTAGTCACAGAAAAGTCCCGGTCCGCTCTTTCAATCGGGACCTTTCCCGATCATGTGACGACGTGTCACGGCGGTCACATGATCCCTAAACCACGTCCCACCAGCCCCGCCTCCCGGCGTCTGAAACTCTCGCGAGAAGGGGTTAAAGACATCTACTTGCTTGAGAAGTTCGAAATCTTTAAGTTTTGGGTAGATAAGCAGCAAAAATGTGACTTTTCAGAAAACGGTGTGAGATCGATATGTTGGTTGAGAAGCGTATAAGAAGTTTGGTAGACATATCCTGCTCACTCTTGCTTCGGATTACTGGATTATAATGTCATGGGGGGAGGGATGATGAGCATGGATTAGGACCACACCCAGGAAGGAGGCTGACCATGGCTTGGAGCAGGAGCTCTATGTGAGGGCTCCCAAGCACCTCCAGTGCCCTACAGAGAAGGGAAGAGATGTGCGGGAAGCCCTGGAGAGACTAGCCGGGGAGAGGGGGGCTTGCCTGGTGGGAAACGTGGACCGATGATGACCTCCTGGAGTAGCGGCCATCGCGGCGGGTCTTCCTCTGCTCTTGGCTCGACACTGTGTGTTCCCCAGAGCTCAGTGGATGCCGGGCGATCAGGTGATCTGACGTAAGGGAGCTCTGGGAGGCAGAGGAGCCGGTCAGCATTTCTTGGAGCAAGGGAGACGCCAGCTCTCTTCCTCCTGCACATAGGACCATGGCAGCTGGAGACACGAGGAAACGGGCTGCGTGAACCCCCCCTGCAATCAACTCATTGTGTGAAGGGAATGTTGAGTGCAATGTTCCCCAGAAGAGAGTACGTGGAGCCACCTCACCCCTCACTTGGAGTAAAGGAAGAGATGTCCTAAAGTGCGGGAAAGTCTCTCAGAGACGTTCTAGCTCTATAGAAACCAAAGATCTCACATGGGAGAGAAGTATTCCTGTTTCAAGTGCGGGTAATGTTTTTCATGCAAGTCCTATTTTTATATATACCAGTGATAACACAAGAGGGAGCAGCCATACTCTTGTTCAGAGTGCAGGAAATGTTTTTCACAAAAGTCCAGCCTGCATATATATGTTCTCACATGAGGAAGATGCTATATCCCTGTTCTAAGTGTGGGAAATGTTTTCTCAGATACATCTAGACTTTACATATATCAGAGATCTTACACAGGTGAAAAGCCATGTCTGTCCTGAGTGCGGGAAACACTTTTCAGTGAATCCCAGTCTTCAACTTCTCCTTCGTGTAAGATCTCTGATGTGTGTGAATACCTGTTCGGAGTGCAGTGAATGTTTTTCAGAGAAGCCCTTTTCTTTATATATGACAGAGATCTCATAAGGGGGAAAAGCCATATTGGGGATAAGAGGGTGAATGAGAGCGGCAAAAGTACTGACAATATATTGCATGGGAACTTAACTGTTTGTATTGAACTATATGTTTAAACTGAGGAGGGGTTCACCTAGGGGGTCTTAGAGTAAAATCAGAAGGAGGACAATGTAAAACAGATAAAGACCTAGAAGAAGAGGACCCAGGTAGATGAGTTTGGGAGTGGAGGGGAGAGAAAAAGGAAGAAAAGAACTGAGAGTGGGATACCCATGGAAGACAACAAATTTTGATATCAAATCAAAAATAGACCCCCCCCCCCCCCCCCCAAACCCAGAACTGCCAAAAATTGAAATAGTCCCTGACAGCATGAAAAACAAAGTATCAAAAAGGGAGGAGGGCCTAAGGCTTCCCAAACAGGGTCAATTGAAAAATATATACCCTCACAGGAGAAAGACTCCAGAGAGACAACAGGGAATAAGTATAAGAGGTGAGAGGGAAAACAGTGGGGAATGTTCCAGACTATCCCTGGGAATAGCTAACAGTAGTCAACATATGGAAGAAGTGGATATGGATAAAGTAGAAGAACA